TAACGTTAGCGAAATAAAAGTATAAATGTAAAATATAAAATAATCACACTGTCAACGAAGTGACAGGTTATACACTAATAATAATAATAATAATAATAATAATAATAATAATCGATAGTGTTGCGGTTGTAAACAAAAAAAAAAATGATGAACATGTGATGGTCATCTATGACTGGGTAATTATGTAACATCATTAGAATGTAATCGTAATTTTTTATCAAATTGTTGACTTCAAAAACAAGTATTTGAAGCCTCCGGCAAAGTTTTTTCTTTCTTTCTTCCCCCCTTTGTTTATTTACATATAAAATTTGTAGGTTTTTTGTTTTTGCTGCAAATTGCAAATACTGTATTATGTTTAACATTAAATTACTACATATTATAGAGATAATTTCCCCTAAAGTATAAAAGGATGCAAAATTTCTAGTTTAAAGTGTACGAAATATCGATTTTTTAAATCACTAATACTATATAGTTTTGAGCCAAATAAGTATGCCTTTAACTGAGAGTATCAACGATGTTAAAATAATACTGTTGAAGAGGTAAAGGCGTAAATCGTGTTTATGTTTTGGTGGGGGAATATAGACGATCGTTAATACTATAAGAGAAGCTTCTTCATATAATCTGACTGTTTTTTGAGCATATTAATATGTGTGGAAAAGTCAACCCTTTATGCGGTTTGCTGGCGGAAAGTTTAACAACGAAGAATATATAAATGTGATCATTCGATAAGTGAGACAACCTAAAATCTGGAGCATTTAAACTTTTTGTATAATGGCTGCAAAAACCGTCTTAGTACGAAACGAATTCACAGAGTGCATAATTTGCGTAAAACGCATTCGCTATTATAAATCAATTTAATTAATTAATTAATTTAGGCATGTTTAAATATATAAATAGATTGCCAACTAGCTAGTAAAATGATAGAAAGGTATATAAGAAGAGCTAGTTTCGCTAGCTAGCATCATTTTCTGCTCATCGTTCGATTTATTCTTGAATCTGAACATTCTTTAAATATATTGTACGATTGTTTGAACATTTATGGAATGGTATACTATTGAACTTAAATACTTTGGCGCCCCTACGGATTAATTGTATTAGTATTATTAGCGATTTCAGCAAGAGTAGAGTTTAGCCACAAAATTATGAAAAATGTTAGATACTATACAGTGACATAGAACCTCATATCTCGACAAGCACAAGAAATATCTAGACAGAAGTTTGTCTCAAACACCGTAAATTTTTATTCTTCCTGAGATACGTAATTATTTTAGAATGTGTCGTTTTTCCTGTGTCAGAAAAGATGTACAAGCAGCTTAAATCTCATCGTCAAAACTGAATAAACAAACTTCTTTAAAATCAAAATACTCTCCTTCTTTCATCATTGAAATATTAATTATTCGACCGGATATACCAATCGCGTCTCTGCCAAGCTGTAAAAATATCTGTTGATCAACTACGGAAACGAGCGCTCATCATTAATATTAACTAATTATTAAACAATTATTGTTTAATTATCTAGTTGAAGACAAGCGACATTTATCCGACTAGTCGAAACACTAAATTGAAGTCAGCTATGTCTAAATTAAACGGATAGTCCTCCCTCGATGCTGTGACATAATAATTGTTGCTATCATAATCGTAGGTGCACAAGAAGTACGTCGTGGATTTATATCAATTAGGTCACTTGTAAGTCTAGACTCAGTCTTAATTGGAATAACGGCGGTCATACGAAGCGGTCATACGAAGCTTAATTTGGTGAGGTTCCCGCACCCAATCGTTCCCAGACTGTAAACGTTTTATGATATAAGTTCGAAGTGCAGTGACCCATAGAATGTACAGTACTTGAGCCAAAACTATAATTATTAGAACAAGGTCTTCCCAAAACGTAATATCAGATCTCATAGTCAAATGTTCGAACCAGTCCTCATTGTGAATAAAAATTCCTCGTCCTAATTCTAATGATCATCATGTATCTTTTTCTCTGCGGAGCTTATTCGTCTTAGCGATATGTAAGTTGGATAATTTGGGGAATGTCAAAAATGTGACGTTGCATGTATTTTCACTTGGGTTATTTATGTTGATTTGCATAAAAGCAAATTTAGACAGAAGTCAAGAAGAAAGGTATTCGTATCTGCATAATTCGCATTAATAAGTTATTGGATCAGTTAGCAAATTGAACCCCTGAATTATTGTTGAATTTACAGCCTGCTCTAAATCTTCATTCGGGAATACCTTATTTGTAACGAAGCAACGCGTCGCGAGTAGTTTGAATCACGTGTTTAGTAAATATCTGGCACCAATAAATCCCGTAATTGCTAAAAGCGGTAGTCTTTAATCCATTCATATATGTCAATTGATAAGTCTCTTCCTCGCCATTGATATCTCTTCAAGTTTCGCATTTGTATTAACTCAGTTTCGGTTATCTTATCACGTTGTATATTCCGTTGCGCGCATTATCTGTTTTGGACAGGCGGCTTTGCTACAGTAAGTGGCGCGTCGCAGAATACTGAAACAGGTGATAAGACGTAAACAAGCTTATTCCACCGAAAACTGCCGCGTGTTTTATCAACTTCTCTTGCCTCTTCAGGCATTCAGCGAGTTGTCTAAAAATGTTTACAAACAGACAAGTTCAGCAGGTACTTATTGTTGGGTCATGAATTTAATTGATATTTCTAACTTGCACATGTCTACGATGATGTTCTATTGAGCTCTCAACTAAGTAAAGCATTGCAATATGTCTGCAGCGCAAACTTATTAAGCAACCGGTTACGGAAAGTGACGAAAATGTGACTGATGTGCGGCACTTAGCGAAAGAAAGTGTTCAAGCGCCACTTTCTCATAGGACCACTGTTCTGTCACGTTTAAGGCGTCCAGCACTCGGTGATGTCAGTAATACTTCTACCAGCGTAAGTAAACAAGCCACAATAAGCGATGATAAGTCAAAGTTGGCACTAGTTAAAGAAGTGGGACCTGTTGTTAGCAAAACGGTTAAACATGTTCATCGTCAAGCTGTACGCAGACGTGTTGTCAGTGGTATACCTGTTCCAAGCGAGAGTCAACCTCTCACACGTGCGGACGACCTCGTTGCACCTAAACACGCACCGTTAAAGGAGTTATCTGCAAATAATGTTACATCGGTCAACAAAGAGACAGTTTCTGCAAACGTGGGTGTTTTTCAAAAGACGATTGCATCCAGTACAATCTCATCGATAATACAACACAAGCAACAAGCAAGGTCTTTAAGTCGTAAGCGTGCTGCTGCAGCTTTACAGAACACTGTACAATTGCCCGATCCTGTAACAGATATTTCAAATAGTATAGACACAAATTCACTAAAGCAACACGTCCACGAAGCAGAAGCTTATGAAGCCGAACTTGACAGACTGCGAGCCAAGAAGGCAAAGGTTCAAAGATGGGATGACCTGGATGCCGATGATTTTAATGACCCATTTATGGTCTCCGAATATGTCGTTGAGATTTTTGATTATTTAAGAGAATTGGAGGTAAGAATAAAAAAATTCATGACATAATTGAGTGTTTATCTGCTCTCGATGAGATGATTTAACCGCTTACAGACCCTAATCACTTATTATCTATTATATGTGTATTGTTTCAAATCGATCGCAAATATCTATAGAAACAAACGATGCCTAATTCTAATTATATGGAGAATCAGAAAGAGCTTGGTTGGAAAATGCGCACTATTTTAGTGGATTGGCTTGTTGAAATACACTCTAATTTCCGACTATTACCTGAGACTCTTTACCTGGCTGTTAACATCGTCGACCGTTTTCTTTCTCTCAGAGTTGTTTCTCTCGTCAAATTACAACTAGTTGGCATAACTGCGATGTTTATCGCTTCAAAATATGAAGAGGTTGTCGCCCCATCAGTAAAAAATTTTGTGTATATGGCAGATGGTGGTTACTCCGATAAAGAGATCTTGAAAGCGGAGAGATACGTATTACAAGTACTCGATTTCCGTCTCTGCTACCCAAACCCCATGAACTTTCTCCGGCGCGTTTCAAAAGCTGATGGTTATGATATTTCGACACGTACGATTGCGAAGTATCTCATGGAGATAAGTTTATTCGACAATCGTTTTCTAGGAACCGCTCCATCTATGGCTGCTGCCGCTGCATTGTATTTGGCTCGTAAAATGCTTAATCGTGGTGAATGGGTGAGTACCGAATTGCTTTTTTTTGTCTGAATTACTGAACTAAATTTCGCATTTGTATTGATCAATAGAACAATAACTTGGTTCATTATTCGTATTATACTGAAGAAGAATTACGCCCAGTGGTGGATCTGATGGTCGATTTTCTTCGTAGGCCGCGGAAGAGTGATGCCTTCGAGAGAAAATATGCTGCTAAGAAATTTTTGAAGGCAAGCTTGTTCGCGCGTGAATGGGTTAAGCATAGTGTTGGACTGATTGGCAATTCTTAGCAAAGTTAAAATCACAATAAATCGGGAATATTTAGAGTATTTTTTTAACTTCAGAATTTTTGGTAATCCACTATTCTGCAGACTGTTATACTATCAATTTATTGTAAATATCTCGTTTAATAAAGATGGCAGTGATCTGTCGAAAGTAAACTCTTTGGTCTGAATTACTTTTCGTATTAATAGGTTATGCGTGTGATACTTAATGTTTCTGATTGAGAAGAAATGTCCGATTTAGGTTAAGATGCCCAGGTGCGATCCTTCTCTATTGCTTTTAGAAACCTAAAGTCGATAATGTTATTTGTATGCTGGCTTGGTAATCATGGCTGATTTCCGTCGATGTGAGGGCTATACCCGAATTTGGCACGCAGTGACGAAATAGGATTCGTATCCTAGTTTTGTATGAATTCGATTGCACGTAGTGCCGAATTGTTAGCTTCGCATAATTCATTCGAATATCGCCCAATAATGAGGCACACCAAAGCATCCGATGAGGAGGCACGTTGTTAGCAGTTATTTGGTATCTTACTTCTTTCCTTATAATATTCTGCCTTTGCGTATCACCAAAAGTTTACTATATTTTTCAGCTTTGGAAACATTTCTCGTATAGTTGATGTCTTCCGAGTACTTTAGCTTTATGTTAAAAAATTAGATCGCACTACTATATATCGCATATGCATTATATTTTAATAACCTTTACGTATCACTTTTTTGACACTTCATGCCAGCTCCGCTAATATCTACCTAATGATACGTAAAAGCTCAATTTTTGTAACCTTTGTATATCACTTTTTGATAACTTTTATGTATCACTTTTTTAGCACTTCATGCCGGCTCGCTGATATCGTCGCGAATAATTGATTTATCCATAAATATGAGGGACTGGTTCTCCATTGATGACATGATGAAAGACCGCAAAGCTGTATTGCAGGTTCCTCGCATGACAAGTGAGGAAAACTCATTTGTGGCAACGGTTGAGGATGTACAGTGGCCTGCCAAAATTTTACGACCACCCGTGCCGATCATCACATTTATTATGAGTAGAAGCGATTTTCTA